TGGCCTCCAACTTACGATTCAATGCTAGAACCAGCTCTGTCAAGTTGGTATCGAGCGAGATGCTTAAGTGATCATCCCTTTGTTTCAACAATGATCTGCTCATGGAGCTGCTGGGGTCTCTTTCTGCATGGTTGCTTCCAATCGTGGGCTTCTCTGGGTTGGAGTGCAAAGTTTGGTGTGGTTGCTTAAGCTATGAATTGGGAACCTCGCGAAGTAATTTAGTACAAATAGTCATTTCTCTGTCATCGGGATGAGAGTTTTTTGTAAATTTATCGACGAAAAATCAACCCTTGACAACAAATTGCGGTTTCTTGGCTTTTTGAATGTCATTGTAATGGGCATTTAGGTCATTATCTTCCGGAGTTTATGGCTGCTCACAATTGCTCCCCAATTTTTGATTCAATACGAGCTCTGTCAGGTCGTGTATTGAGAAAACGTCCACTTTGTCATCAGTGTGCTCTAGAAAGGATGATTGATTCATGATGTTGTTTAGAACTTGTCCTTCATTGTCATCCATGGAGTATAGAGTTTAGTCGTAAATTCACCGTGACAACATAATACAGTTCTATAGCCACTTGTATTTTATTTCTGTTTTCCCTCAAATTTCGCTCCAAAATGATATTTTTATTTTCAAAATTTAAATAGCTCTAGAATTGCTAAATTCGTTAAAATCTGGGCCGGTCATCTCCGAGTCTCTCTCCTGTCTCTCGCTCCTCAAAAAAAGAAAATCTGGGAGAGAGAGAAAGCAGAAGAACCGAAGAGGAAGGCCAATTATCTAAACCGGAAATGCGAAATTAAAATAATTGGGAAAAAATGAAAAATGAAAATTAAATAGGCAGGCAGGCGGAGGAGCGGAGGAAGACAACGAAGAAAGGAACCCATCTCTTCTTCTCTTTTTTTTTCTTCTTTTGCTTTGGGGTGGAAGAGAAGAGGAGAGAGAGAGAGAGAGGCAGAGATAGAGACGAGCGAGAGAGAGAGAGAAAGAAAGCGGAGGCGTTTGGTTTGGTTCCCCGGAATCTAACTGTTTCTCTCTCCTTTTCTCTTCTTCCCCCTGAACCAAAAATTTTCTCGAGGGCGGGGCGCAAAGATTCTCTGAGCGAGTCTGAGGGGGAGGAAGAAAGAGAGAGAGGAGAAATTATAAACGAAACCCTAATTTCCCCCCCTGAGCTTTCGTTTCCGGATGTGTGCGTGATACAAACCCAGAAATCATTGGGCCGGGAGCGGGTTTTGGGTTTTCTACCCCCTTGGATCTCCGATTTCCGCCGACGATGGCGATGGAGCTGGACAGCATCGAGTGCGTCTCCTCCTCCGATGGGTTGGATGAGGAGGAGATCCCTCACGACAATCTCCACCATCACCACCATCAGTTCTCTTCCGCCAAGCCTCACAATGCGGCCGCCAACAACAACGGCCGCGGCGCGGGTATCATCGGTATTCCCGGTCCCACCGCCATCGCTCCGGCCACCAGCGTCCACGAGTTGCTAGAATGCCCCGTTTGTACCAATTCTATGTACCCACCCATTCACCAGGTTCGTTTTCCCCTCCCACAAATTGCGTCCTCTGATGTTGCCTCCCCGCGGAATTAACTTCTGATTTCATGGAATTTGATGGGTCTATTTTGGATTTGAGGTTAGATTTGCGTTACTGGGTTGAATTGGGTTTCGACGATTCAGTGCTCCGATTGCATGATCTCGATCCAATTTCCAAACTTAGGGAGGTGGTTTGCGCTGTCTGGGAATGTTTGTGTTGAATCCAGACTTTCATTCTGTGTTTGTGTATGGTTAGATTTGGTTTAATTTGGTTGGATATTGTTCATTCATATCATAATGTTGTATGTGGAGATGGGAGGAATTACCTATGGATTTGGTTTCGTCGGTATTTGCATTTGAAGGAATAGAATGGAATGTCTGATCATGTGATCTTAGAGGGAATGGGATGGATATACTCTGTTTTAACTTGTTCCTCCATCAACATTCTTTGTAGCAAGAGAATATTTGGGAGCTAGATAAGGATAAGAGAGAAGTTATTTGTAATTATAATTGACATAATGATTGGTATTGGAGAAATTAATGACAACGTTAGCTGGAGCAAAGTCCAAAGCTTGGGTCCTTCACTCTTCATGTTGGAGGAAAGTCCAAAGCTTTGGTATCTTCTTCAAGAGTAGTTGATAATCTATGTCTTAATCCTTGCATCATTGGTCCTGGAAATTTTCACTTCTCTTCAAGTATAACTCTTCTGGATGCTTGTTTTACACAATACATGATGGTTAACTTCTAATAGTGGTGCAATATGAAGCATAATATGCGAACCATTGCTTAAAGTTTGTTTTTCGGTAACTTGTACATGGAATTTCTCTCTTCTTCAAGTCTATTGTGACGTTGTTTCAATTGCCCAAGTAATACTTTTTCTCTTTTTGGTTGTTATCCAAAAATTGACCGTCTCCTAATGCATTTGTCTTTTAAATTCGCTTAATTGCAACATTATTCTTTCTCTTTGCATTATGTTCCCCGTGTGTAGGTATCTCCATTTTGTATTTACCCTATTTGTTTGACAATACACCAAATTGCCAAAGGTGCGACATTTGTTCTGTTATGATTTGGTTTCTGAACTACGTTGCTCACTGCAGTGTAGCAATGGACATACACTCTGCTCGACTTGCAAAACCAGGGTACATAATCGGTGCCCAACTTGTAGACAGGAGCTTGGAGACATTAGGTGTTTAGCACTTGAGAAGGTGGCAGAATCTCTTGAATTGCCCTGCAAGTTTTACAATTTGGGGTGCCCAGAGATATTTCCTTACTACAGCAAACTCAAGCATGAGACAGTTTGCAACTTCAGACCATACAACTGTCCATATGCTGGATCGGAATGCTCTGTTGTTGGTGATATTCCTGCTCTTGTTGCTCATCTACGGGATGATCACAAGGTAGATATGCACACGGGTTGCACATTCAACCATCGCTACGTGAAGGCTAATCCTCGTGAAGTCGAAAACGCCACTTGGATGTTGACGGTAACTGTTAACTGTACTTAAAGGATATTCTTTCATTATATCTGAAGTAAAGAATTGAATCTGTCTCTGAGGCTGAACTTGTTGAAAGTGTGTTTTTGAGAACGGAATATGACATCTACAAGCAACCCTCACTCACCTTTCAACTCAACCCTGCAAAAGTTGGAAATACAAGAATGACATTAGTAACAGAATAGGATATTAGCTTGACCTTGCTCAAAAAATTGTTTTGATGTCAAATGTACTTCTGGGTCTTGCATGAAGGATTTCTTGATGTAAATGCATAGCTAACAGCCTACTCTGAGAGAGTAAGCTTTCGATTGGACTCTTATATTCTATCTGCAGCTGCAGGCATAGTGTGAATAGCTTAAGAATAATAATGAAACGGACAATTTTAGGATCTGTTTTGTTTGGTCTGTTTCTATTCTGATGTTATATATTTGTGTTAACTGCGTTATATTCATTTTGCTTAATACTATGTTAGGTATATTTTCATAATCCATTGTTTGGTTTAATGCATTGCACAGGATATTCTGTAAGTAACCCCAAGCATAAGATTGCATAATTTTGATTCATATCAAATTGTTGCAGTTCGAAATCTACTCAAATACGTCAAAAAAGTCAAATGAAAATGTTATATTTGTTCAATTACACGCTATTGTGCAGTATCAGTTGCTCTAGCAGTTAACAATTACTTATTATCAAGCTTCTCCTTGCCTGTGTTTTCCTCATCTGGGTATGAACTGTTTCCAACTATATAAACATGCTTTCGATTTTGGGGCAACTCATCACAATGCATCTTTACTGCAGGTATTCCATTGCTTTGGTCAGTATTTTTGTCTTCATTTCGAAGCCTTTCAGCTAGGGATGGCTCCGGTCTACATGGCATTCCTGCGTTTCATGGGGGATGAGTCTGAGGCTCGTAACTACAGCTACAGCCTCGAGGTTGGAGCAAATGGGAGGAAGCTCATTTGGGAGGGGACTCCACGAAGCGTAAGAGATAGTCACAAGAAGGTGAGGGATAGCCATGACGGTCTCATTATTCAAAGAAACATGGCTCTCTTCTTCTCCGGAGGGGATAGGAAGGAACTGAAGCTGAGGGTTACCGGCAGGATCTGGAAGGAACAACAGAATCCAGAAGCTGGTGTGTGCATACCAAACCTTTGTAGCTAAAACAAAAAAGAAGAAGAAACAGATGAACTGTAATTTTGGGGATGATTTCAGGTAATTGTGTGTGGGGTTGGTACTCTCTCTTGTGTGTTGTGTTGTTTGGAATTGTCATGTGACTGAAAAGCTGTCAATTTTTCGTTGTCTTCGTAAGTGTTGTATAATGAAAGCAACTCGTCTTCCTTGCTACACTTCAGCTGCCACTAATGATCAAGCCAGTTCCCATCTCTCTTTAGTCTGCTGTTTGTACTTGAAGTTGCCTCCTTTATTGAGACGCTGCCAGTTCATTCCCGAGTTGGCCAATCATTCGGTCGACATTGGATCTTGAATTCGACCTATTGATGTTTGGATGAAACTAGACAATACTGAAGATTGTCCTAGTTTTGATACATCCACTTTACGTACACACTAGGAAGTCGGCTAAATCAATATTGAATCCGCTCAATATAAGATTGTTCTGGTTTTTTATTCGATTTCCGTCCTCGTTTTAATCTCTTTCAATTTAGGATTCAAATAAGAGCATGAATCAACTTGATATTCAATCCTTCGTTCCAACTCTGAATCAGATCGCACCGTATCAATCCCTATACTCCCGCGGACAAGACCGAAAAGAGTGAAAGTGATGAAATTTTTTTCTCATTGTAGTAAGCCATCTAACGAGGAAAATGCAACTGAGAGTTGGAGAAGAAGCAGACTTTCCCGCCCATTTCTGATTGGGCCTAACTCAAACCAGGCCCGGTTTTGTGGAACGACGGCTGAATACCTCCAGACAATTGGCCGATTCATAAGTCGACGCGTGGCTTGTACAACTTCTGCAGTCTGCCATTCTTCCCGCTACCTGCAAGCTGCTGCAGCTGTACCTTCAGTAACTAGCCAGTAGCCAGAGAGAAATAGAGAGAGAGAAAGGGGAAAGCAGGCTTCTTTCTCTTCCTCTTTTGTCAAATTTCTTCTCCACTCTTCACAGTACCTTCCTCCTACCAGTACAGCATTGAGAGAAAACCAAAAATGGCGTCCTCAAGAAGTGTAAGGAAGCGGAGGACCGATGCTGCCGAGGCAAAGAGCGTTGAACCCCGTTCCGGGAGAAAGAAGATAGAAAAAACGACGAAAACACCAAACCCGAAGAAGGAAGCGCCAAAAAAGCAAGGTGGAGACGAAGAAGGGCCTCGCAGGAGATCGAGTAGGCTGCAATGCACTCCCAACCCTCCTCCCTCTGCTTCGCTGAGAAAGAAACCCAACATTCAGGTGACCTCTACTGTCAATAAAAAGGGCTCCTTTTTCTCTATTGTTCTGTGTCCTTCTTAGGTTTTAGGGTTTCTAACTTGGTTTGAAACTTGAAAGTCAAGAGATAGATGGAAATGCTTCTGCACCCCTTTTCCTCCTCTGGTTCGTTCTGTTTCTGGATGGGTTTTAGTCGATCTTGTCTCTGTTGTTCTCTGAGGATGTGAAACCCTTAAAGTTTGAGAAGCAAGCAGGGTTTTGTTTTTCTTCCAGTGACTTAGTTTGTGTGTAGCCATCTTCCTGCTCTTGAACAGCCATGTCTGACTTAGGGAGAAGCTTCCCAAGTGGGGGATTTTGATTTCTACACCTTGCTTGCCTGCTCTCTTCCAAGGATGGGTTCTGTAATGCCTAATCTTTTTTGGTGAAAAGTTCTGCAAAGGCTGTGGAAGGTGTTTGATTAGGGGATTTTTACAATGTTGTTGGTGTTGCTGTTGTTGTTGTCATGAACCAGTTGATCCCAATAACTCGAGTTGTTGGGAGAAGGTTACGCTGGATCTTATACCACTCTCTAACACGCCCCCTCAAACGAAAGCCAACCCACGGGCTTGAAGTTTGCACAGGCCAACCATACCATGTGCTTGAAAGACAACAGTTAATATTGGGGGTCGTGGAGATTCGAACACATGACCTTTTGGTTCTAGGCTCTGATACCATGTCATGAACCAGTTGATCCCAATAACTCGAGTTGTTGGGAGAAGGTTACGCTGGATCTTATACCACTCTCTAACAGTTGTTGGGCAGGTGTCCTTCCCAGACATCACTCCCAGATCCTCAAACCGCAAATCAAGTCCCATCCTCACCCCTGGCATGCTTGGCTTGGCTGCTTCCAAAAGGGTGAAGGAACCTGAAAAGGTTGTTCATCAGCAAGAACCTTACTACGATGCTCCTGCTCAACTGTCACAATCAGATGAGGAAGATTCCAGCAGCCCATCTCCAGGACAGAGATATCGGGATATCATTGACGACATTGCTGCATCCGTATGGACCTCGAATCTCATTACTTTGCCCTCTCTCTTTATCTTACTCCATCTTCATTGAATCAAATAGACTTTTGTATGTTTGTGTCTTTGTGATGGCATTATAACTTTGTATATACCAGGTGCGTCCTCAACTATTTGGAGCTGGAATTGGTTCTATGAGGGATGAAACAGTGGTACCTGGTAGTGGGATCTTTGCTCCAGCTCCAAGTTTACCAGCAGTGTATAGCGAAAAAATGCCAGTTGAAAACGGTATTACTCTGAAGAATTTGCTGCTCGGAGATGGAGAGCCCTCCAACCTGATGGAAGGATCTAGAGTGAACTCCACAAGTGCTTTACATGTACAATCAATGGAGGAAGAAAACTCTCACAATGGAACTGGCCAAGTTGTGGTCAATGCCAAAGAGGTCTCTTATGCAGCAGAGGATTCTGGTCAATGCCTTAGTTTTGGGTTGACTCAGATGGAAGATATGTTCGCTGATGAGGTTGATAGACTTGATGAGGTGGATTGTCCTGCATTTGTGACAGTTGGTCGATATAGGGTGAAGGAATCATGTGCTCCGGTTCTGCGAACTATCATCAGAAAATATGGAGATATCGCGGCCAATTACACTCTCAAATCACCAGAAAACCGCGCTCGTGCCTTGGAAACAGTTTGTGAATGTTTCCCTTCATTCCAGACCAAAAAGCTTAATGAGGTTGACCCAACGAATGTTGGTAAAGCACTTGATGTCCTTAATGACTTGAGAGAGGCAGGGTTGGATATTGGCTGGATTTGTGAGAGGTTGGAGCAGATTGTAAAAGCGAAGCAGGTGCTGAAACAGGCTTCTGAGATGAGACAAGCGAAGGATAAATGGAGTGAGCTCTACGGGGAGAAGCAATGGCATTTGAAGGAGATAGAGAGAGACAACGAACTGCTGAAACGAAAGCTGGAGGAGAAGGAAAGTGAGATGGAGGAGGAGGCAAGACAGCTTGAGGAGCAGAGAAGAAAAGTTGATGAGAAGGGAAGAGAGAAAGATGAGCTTGAGAGACAAATGATGGAGGGAGAAGAGAAGTTCAAGTCTGCAAAAGCGGGAGTGCAGGATGCATTTCGCGAGTTCCAGCAGGTGCAGGAGAGGATACGTGATGCCAAGACTACAGTGAGGTCCTTGGCTGCTTGTTATGTCATGGATGGACTTCTATGAGGACTTTGGTCTGGGACGGGGAACTCAAGAACACTTTCATTTATCTAATTGCTTTCTGCTTACTTAATAGTCATTGACAAGTAGAATGTTAACTCTAGGAGGCAGTGTTAAAAAGTCTGGATATCTGAGGGTTTACAGAAACTGCCATGAGCCCATGAGCGCCAGTGAACGCACCTGCAGACTTCTGATCTCCATCCAATTTACAAACTTGGAGAGGAGATTTGCAGTCTGGGAATGTTTCTTTTGAATCCAGACTTTGATTCTGTATTCTATTCTGTTACGACTTGGCTTAATTTGGTTGGGCATTGTAGAGTGAGTGAAGGTGGCAGGAATTGTTTATGGATTTGGTTTCGTCATCATTTGAACTTGTAGGGAATGGGATGGATATACTCTGTTTTAACTGGTTCCTCCATCCAAGTATGGGAATTGATAACTGCGTACGAAATGCATCAGATAATTGCAGAACAGAACTACTTATTGAAGTGCAGATAGAAATGAACAGAAGGCGCAGTCTCTAAACTTAGGCATCCTCCAACATTGAAACCCCTTCAAACACATTTGACTCACTGCGCCTAGAACTCAACACTCCCCTCTCATTTCCCAGCTATTGTTTAATTACATGCTAACAATAGATCGCAAAATCAGATGAATGACCTTAACATGGCTTGATAAAGGGGTGGCAAATAACAGTACTTCACCATCTTTCAAGCTCTTACCTCATCTTTCGAGTCTTCTGAATCACCAGATACAGTAGCTTTCTCTATGGGTTGGTCTTCACCCGCTGCAGATTCTGCAGCGGCAGGAGCTGCCTCATTAGCATTAGCATCATTTTCCTCTGCAGATCCTGTCTCCACTTCCTTGTTCTTAGGTGGGAACAGATTGGCGATGGAAATTTTCGCCCTTCTCTTGGTAGCCTCAGCTTCTTCAATCTCTTTCGCCTTAGCTTCCGCCTTTAGCCTGGCTTTTTCTTCCATAAGCTTGTCCAGTTCATCTCCTCTCCCTTCCTTGTTCAACTCGCCTTTCACTATCTCCTGAAGCTCCTCATTCACGTCGATAGACTCATCATCCAGCATTGCATCGACTAATTGAAGCACTTCGTCCAACCTCCCATGATCACTTAGAGCTTTCATTATGAACTTATAGCTCTCATTGTTCATCCTCAGTTTCTTCACCATCAGCTCGTAAAACGATTTTGCCTCGTCAATCTTCCTAGCTTTAACCAACTGATCAACCAATCTATCATAAACAGGCAAGTCCGGTCTCAGCCCTGAATCGACCATCTTCCTAAAATATGCAGCACCATCATCAATTCTACCCTCGTGAAAGCAAGCATCCATCAATAAGCCAAAGGTGTACTCATCCGGTTTCACCCCCTTTCCATCCATGTCACCATAAACCTCTTCAGCGTCAGCTAACAACCCATTTTTGCACAATTGATCCATCAAGTTATTGAAGGATGCGTTATCGGGGCTGCACCTGTAATCACCCATCTTCCTGAAAACCTCAATGGCATCCTTAAACCTCCCTTGCAAGCAATACCCATCAGCCATGACGTTAAAGCTTCCAAGATTAACAGCCAAACGAGTTGGAGGTTTGTGCTCTCCAAGCATTCGGTCGAACAAGTTCAAAGCCTCATCAAACTTACCATTCTTGCACAAAGCATCGAGCACAGAGTTGTAGGCAATAGCACTCATCTTGACCTTCGAATTCTCACCAACGGCTTCCTCGTAACAATCCATGGCCTCCTTCTCCATTCCTCTCATGAAGTAACCTTTCATCAGCGCTCCATAAACCACACCATCAGTCACAACTCCACCATCAAGCTTCTGCTTCAACTCCTCGTACAGCTTAAAGACTCCATCAGCATCATTGTTCTTCACACAGCCCACCATCAAGTAATGATAAATGAGAGGGTCAGGAGAAAAAGCTTCGTTCACCACCATCTCTTCCTTCAACTCCAGAGCCTTCTCCACCATACCGTTGTTCACTAACCCTTCGATTAAAATCCTGTAAGTCGTGGGAGAAGGAGCCACGGGAGCGTCATTGATCAGCTGCTTGTAAATCTCCATCGCCGTATCCGGTTTCCTGCAGGTCAAATAAGTCTGAAAGACCAGATTGTGGGTGATCACATTGGGAGCGATATTTGCTTGAATGATGAAACGGTGAAGGGAGAGCAAGTCCGCAAATTTGCCCTGGCGGAGCTGAGCGTTGAGCACGGCATTGACGGTGTAGATTGTGGGGCGGCAGTTGGAGTAGACGGAATGGCGGGTGTAAAGCGCCGCCTCGGCGAGGTCATTCTCCCTGATTAGGGTGAGGATGCGGTTGTGGAGATTCAGCCGGTTGCCGGAGAGGGCGGAGACTGGTTCCGGCAGCTTGAACTCGTTAGCACCCTGACTGGGTTTCTTGGGTTGCTGGGATTGCTGCTGCTGGGCGCGGTGGGCGGAGGAGAGCGGGGGTTCGATGCGGAGGCGGCGCTTGCGGCGGCGGCGCTCTGCCTCGGCTTCTTCCGGGCTGGAGAAGGAGAGGAAGCGGATAGTCACGCTGGACGGCGGCGGAAGGGGACGTGGGTGGTGGCGGAAGGGGATGGATAGGGTTTTGAAGCGGGTGAAGAGAGCGGGTTTGGAGAGCGCCATGGATAGGGTTTTGGAGAAAGTGTGGAGATGGTGGAGAACTGGAGATGGAGATTCGACAGCGATGGAGAGGCGTGAAGGTTCGAGCCTCGAGGGTTCAGGGTTTTGTGTGCCAAATGGGAAGATTATGTGATTAAAATTACCAAAATGGTCACCAAACTGTATGACGTAACCAAATGAGTCATCAAACTTTTGTTTTATGGCAAGATAGACCCTTGACTCCGTTAGTTATTATTTAGGCAAAATACATCTTATCTGTATTAGCCATAACCTTGGCATATTTGTCAATAATAGCCACATTTTGAGAAATACATAAAATAGTCACTTATGTCCTATTTTCTAACGGTGTCATCTATCATACTGACTGGACTAACGAAAAAGATGACATGTCAACTTTTTAGTCAATAATAATGTGAGCTGGAATTAACTGGAAAAAAATATAAAATAATTAAATATTTTTATCCTCTTGCTCCCCTCTCGATTCTTTCCCCTTTTGTTCCCCCAACCGCCGCTCATCCTCATCGCGATCTCCCTCTCTCCATAAAAAATCTCCTTTGCACCCACCCCTCCACCGATGCATTTTTCCTCTCTAGGGTTCCACCGCACTCTCGTCCACCAACTTCTAACGTCATTAGAGTTTGCATCGAAAATGCTTATATTTGTCATACAAACATCCAAACACTGGGTATTTTGTGTATTTCACCAAAAATGGCTATTATTGTCACAACTCACAAACTCAAAAGTTATGGTCATATAGATGCACCCATCTCGTCCACCAACTAAATATGGAACCTTCCTTTTAAGTGGGTCCATAAAATTCAGATCTAAGGGTGGAAAATTAATGACATTTTTATTTTCCCTATTTTTTTATTGCCCTGAATGAACGAGTTCATTATGATTTATTGGATCTACAAATTTCCGGATGAACAAAATACAGGTCCAAAAAATACCACACAATACCTCCCAGGTATGTGGTGGTATCTTGGGGTACACAATGTTGAAAATCATAAATGACAGTTAGTATACTCCTACTATCATGTATTCAATCATCCTATAGTCTTGGTATGTTCATACCACCATGGTACGCTTTTCATACAATATGGTATGCTCTTATTTAAGTGGTCTGGTTTGGTTTCAGGCACTCCTAACCAATCAAACCAAATTAACCAGTTAAGTAATTTGTCATATATCTAATATATATTATATACACATACTTAATTCTTTGCATAACCACTCAAGAGTCAAACGTAAGATAATTGTATTTATTACATGTATTTACGTTAAGGGTTAACTATAATTATGTGGATTGTTATGTGTTGTTCATTATATAAATTGCAAATTGATGCACTAACTGAAAATTTTTCTCACTTAATGATAATGTGGTGTTATATTGGTTATTTTGGTTAACCAATTAACCAAACCGAATAAACTTTAGTTTGGTTAATTTGGTTGTTGTATTAGTTTGGACGGTTTGGTTATGATATTGTATTCCATGGTTAATAGATTTTAGACTTATTTGGTTTGGTTATTACCATGGTGACCATTTGAACACCCCTAGCGAAGAGGCCCTAATGTGGCGAATGATGATTGGGTTATGCATGGTTACTGACTAGTATGTTATCTGGATGGCTAAATGTTGCCCTAATTTTACAATTATCGCCCTAACTTAAATTGCCAAATTATTAAATTATCCTTCATTAATCAATCCTAATTAATGAAAAGAATAAACCCTCAAACCCTAATCCTCCTTCAACGTCCTACTCTCTTCACTTCGTCGCCATACATTCTCCCCCGACGTTGAATCGTTCCTGCTGCACAGAGCCACAACCTCGAGTCCCAGACAGAAGCGAACAAACGTCAACCAAACGAGACGACGGAGGGTGTCGACTGAATTCTTGAGCGTACAATTCGGCGGCGGTTTCCAAAACAGAAGTGGAAGTAGAGCAGCCAAGGAAGTCTCTGTGGCCGTGAGCTCGATGTCGTTGGTCGACTGGTAGTATTCTAGGGCGTTGGATGAAGAAAGCAAAAGGGACAGAGGGGATGAGGGCGGTAAAAAAAACAAAGGTTAATCTAACATTGGAATCAAGGAAGTAGGGACTAGGGATAAGTTTCTGTTGTTGTCGTCGGGTAGAAGCTGGGCAAAGCATTTCTTAAACCCTGTAAATTGCACTTCTTCTTCTGTATCTGCATGTCCTCATAGTCCAAGAATAAAAGAAGCAGGTGCTTGGATTCTTATGTTGAGAAATTGGTTTTTGTTAAATCAATGGCAATAAACATAAGATGAGAAAGCTTGCAACCCTAGTAGATGATTAGGACAGAAAACGGAAAATGACAGGAAGGCATAGTTGGGGGAATTTACCAGAATGGCTGCATTCCATTTTCTGAAGAAATATATACAGGGTCTCCATCCTATTTACCACTACACTACAAAGCAGAAATGGTAACTATGCTAGCCACTAACATCTCGCCACTTGGTGCAACATTACTTATTTACTGGACTACTAACGACGCCGTTCTATCTTGCAGGGTCGACTACTTAGATGATACGGCGTCGTTGGAACTGCATCTCTTCTTCTTCTTCTTCTTCGACCAAGGTGAAAGGAAGCCCAGGTCGACTCTGTCTCTGAAGCTCAACAACAATGGCTGCATTCTGCATCCTTCCTTCACAGGCCCCCTCAAGCTAGGAGGTACATGTCATGAACTCCCAGCTTGTAGAGAAGAAAATCAAACCGATCAGAAGAAAGTCCCTTTGTGAAGAAGTCGGCAACCTGTTCTTCTGATTGAATGTGATGCAGAGAGAGTAACCCAGATTTCAGTCTTTCACGAGTTACATGGAAATCGACTTCAATATGTTTTGTACGCTCGTGAAAGACTGGGTTTTCTGCAATATGAAGTGCAGATTGATTGTCGCAAAAAACTTGAACCGGCTCAGGATGGTCGATTCCATAGAATCTGAGAAGGGATTTCAGCCATTGAATTTCACACGAAAGTTGAGCCAGAGCTCTATACTCTGCTTCTGAAGAGGAACGGGAAACTGTGGATTGCTTCTTGCTTTTCCATGTTACTAACGAACTGCCCAGGAAGGTGCAGTAACCTGTAACAGAACGTCTTGTGTAAGGGCAAGTCGCCCAATCAGAGTCACAGTAACCCTTGAGTTGAGTAGAATTAGAGGAAGAGAGCCATAAGTCTTGAGATGGATGAGATTTCAAATATCTCAAAATTCTGTGCAATGCTTGGAGATGAACTGTAGTAGGGGCCCCCTGAAATTGGCAGAGTTGCTGAACAGGGAAGCAGATATATGGTCTGGTGGTGGTGAGGTACTGAAGTTGGCCTAGAAGATGCCGAAAAACCGAACCATCTGGGAGAGGCACACATTCAGATGCAGACAGAGAGGTCTTCATGCTCATGGGAGTCTTGGCAGGCTTGGATTCAAGGAAATCTGCTTCAGAAAGAAGTTCCAGATAGAACTTGCGTTGGCAAAGAGAAATCCCTGCAGCAGACCTGGCAATTTCAACACCTAGAAAGTACTTGAGAGTGCCTAGGTCTTTGATTTTGAAAGAATGATGTAAGTGTTGCTTGGTCTGTGTAATCAAAACTGTATCATTTCCAGCAATGATAAGATCATCTACGTAGATGATCACAAACACACAAGAGTCTTGCTTCTGTAGTTTGAACACAGAGTAGTCATCAAATGATTGAACAAACCCAAAGTTTTGAAGGAAATCATTGAGCTTGATATACCATTGTCGACTGGCCTGTTTAAGACCATATAAAGACTTTCTAAGTCTACAAACTTTGCCTTACATCCCTTCCTGATCCTTCAGATTAGGAGGGAGTTCCATGAACACTTCCTCATCCAAATCCCCATGTAAAAACGCATTGCTAACATCCATCTGTTGTAAGTCCCAGCCTTTAATTGCAGCAACAGCAATTAACAGCTTGACAGAATTCATCTTGGCCACAGGTGAATAGGTTTCCATGAAATCTACACCATATGTTTGAGTGTATCCTTTCAACAGAACCATTAGGAAGGTATTTGGTTTTATAAACCCATTTGTTACCCACAACTGGTTTGTCAACTGGCCTATTAACCACATCCCAAGTTCTGTTGGCATCCAAAGCTGCCATTTCTTCATTCATAGCATTGTTCCAACAAGGGATGCTTACAGCCTGCTGATAAGTCTGAGGTTCAGGTAAAATAATGATAGAGAGGGAAAAAAGTTTGTGTGAAGGGGGTAAATGATCATAACTGATGCAGGCACTTAAAGGATATAACAGCTTGGAGTCATGTGGGAGAGTGGCAGAAGAAAGTAAACTGACATGGTAGTCAGATAGGTAAGCAGGTTTCTTTACTGCTCGTTGTGGCTTATGGAGAGCAATGGGAGGTGAAGGAGGGAGAGAAGAAGGAGAGGGAGATGAGGAAGAAGATGAATCAGACCCCACTGAGCTACAAGGAGAAGAGGGAATAAAATCTGGATAAGTGGTCTCATGAATGTTATGTAGGGATGGCAACAAAACCCGAACCCACCGGTATCCACCCGACCCAACCCGGTCAACGCGGGTAAAATCCGTGTTGACGGGTTTTGGGCCGGGTTTGGGTTTAAACCCGTTCACTATTCATCGGGTTGGGTTGGGTTTGGGTTTAGGTAAACCCGACCCGTGGGTACCCGCCCACCCATATAATTAATTTTTTCGGTATATTTAATATTCTAAACAACTAATCTTATTTATGTTTGTGGAGACATGTCTAATTTTTTTCTTTTTAATTGTGTAGAATGAAGTTGATGTTATGGAGTGGAGAGTAATTAAGAAACTTAATTGAAAGGAAGAAGCTTTCAATTAAACATGTTATTTATGGATAATTTGTGATTTGCTTCAATTTTCTTGAGTTTTCTAGATTGGTGTTGAACAATTTGTATAGTTAATTTGTGATTTGCTTGAATTTTCTAGAATGGTGTTTTATATATGGATAATTTGTATTGAGAGATTGATATTTGACTTTA